AGAGATATCATTAAGTCCTTAATGTATGTAGCCTACTTAAATCGTTGCATCAATCTTGTGAGATGACTATAATTATTTCCACCATACAGAATAGAAAATTGGAGGGATAGAGAGATTAAATAAGTAGCAGCATGGGATTCTAACCCAAGTCTGTCATTCCAGAACCTGTGCTCATGGCTGTCATACTGTATAGTCTTTATTCTCAGGAAATAGCAAGGAATCCTGGAGAATAGAGTATATTTAGAGTGGTATGTAGTGAAAGATCATCTCGGAAAGGCTTTTTAGAATCCTTTTTAGGAGGCAGTGGAAACGAACAGAGAGGAATCCTTTTTAGGAGGCAGTGGAAATGAACAGAGAGGGATAGCAGGAAGTCTTGGAGGAGGAAGGCTCAGAAATAATTGGCAATGATTAGGGTCATGGGGAAAGAGGAAAATCAAAGAGGACTGAGGTTTCATATCTGATTGAGGGAGCAGTGGCATCATTAGCGTAAATAGAAAAGTGAGAAATGGAAGGAAAGATCGAGGAATAATTTTGATTTTAGACATGTTGCATTTAAAGTACAGATGAAGTACACCGTTGGAAATTGGGTATCAGATGTGACTTTTCATTTGAAGAAGTTTGGATTTAAAGGAAGACCTGAGGACAATTACTGGAAGTTGCTGAGAGCTAAGACTCCATTAAAGTTGACACCCTGACCTCAGCAGGCTTTATCCTGTGCATCTCATCAGCCTGCTGGGTTTTTTTTTTTTGTTGTTGTTGTTTTGTTGGTTGGTTTAATTGTTTTTGTTTTTGCTTAGTACTTGAGATTGAACCCAGGGATGCTCTACCACTGAGCTAGATCCCCAGCCTTTTTTATTTTTTATTTTGAGACAAGTTCTCACTAAATTGCCCAATCTGGCCTCAAACTTGGCAATTTTCCTGCTTCAGCCTACCAGGCCACGGGGATTATAGGTGTGCACCACTGCACCTGGCTCTCATCAGCCTTCTGTATCTTGACATTACTGTGGTTGCTTCAATCAAGAGATTTGTGACCACAGCTTCCTTAGTTCTATCTCTGCTGTTTTCTCTTCTTACTGCACCTGCTCTCTACGCTCCCTGTAATCTCTAATCCCTGACACCTGTGTGTGTACCTGGTCCAACAGTCCTGTTCTGTTTTCACTTGCCTTTCTCTCTAGTTTATATCTCTCGTCAGTCATTTGAATTCTTCCCTCTCTGGCATCTTTTAATACCTCTTCAGAGCCTAGATATTACTGTCCTCCCTTCCATTCCATATCCAAAGAGCTATTCTCTTAACCAGTGATAGCCCTAAAAGGGAATGTACCTAAAATCATAATTATGACATTATGACTCTCAGCTCCAAAGAAATTGTCATCTGCAATGGGAATTACACAAGACTCTGGTGCTCATAGAGAGCCAAAGCAGGCCTGTCTTGTTTTGTCTTCTTGGGCTCCCTTTGTGTTCGAAATCTATGGTAGGATTTTTCCATGTGTTTGTATGTGTGTGTGTATGGCATTGGGGATCAAACCCAGGGCCTTGAGCATGCAAGGCAAGTGCTCTACCACTCTTATTGGATAATATACTTGGGGATAGAGTCGAATCACCTTTTTACTAGTTATATCTTATTTCCCAACTTCTGAGATATTTAGAGATATTTAGAGCTGGTGTGGAGACACAAAGTGGAAGGAACTTCTGAGATCCTTTAAGGTAATAAATAGTTCTAGGGCTGTCAGGTTGGCATCCTGTTTCTTCCTGATAACAGAACCGTGAATAAAAACTAGCATGAATCTTGGCTGGGAACCTGGCCCTCCTGTAAACAAACCCATGCTGTGGTGGCTCCTCACTGACCTTGCTGTAGCAGCTTTATAGTCAGCACCATGCTGTTTCTATAGCTCTAGGCTCTCAGACCTTTGTGTACATTGTACAGGGAGCCAGCAGAGGGAGTAGTGGCCCCAGAACTTTCTTCAGGCCCTCTAAGAAGTTTTGATTTTGCAAAAATATCTTCCCTGGCTCCATCTGAATTTCCCATGAAGTAAGAATTTAACTTGAGATATGCCAGAGCATGGTGCCAGACCCCTAGTGGGAGCAGGTGGGGAGCTTTTGCATAGCTATTTGAACTTGAAAGCCATAAGGAACTCTGATTTCAAGGAAACGCCTGTTTACTGTACTGATTCAAATCTAGCAGCTCTTGAGAAATGGGAGCGCCTTCTTGACCTCAATCTGTATTGATCTTGGTATCAGCACCTCTAGTGACGTGTCCTTAGGGGCGGGAGAAAATTAACCAGTGCCTTATACACAGGGAAGAAGGAAGACAGTTTGTTGTTGCAGAAAGTCCCCACTGGGGAGGTGGGGTAGAGTGTTTGGGTAGCACTGAACAGAGTGCCCTGAAGGAAGTACAGTGCCAGGGTGCAGAACTTTGCACCGCTCTGGTTTTGAATCCGAAGCAGAAGGCTTTGAAGCTGGCTGGTAAGGGATTTGTTAGGCAGTTGACTAAAGATTTTGATTTGAATAGGAGGCTTCTGTGAAAGGGGATGCGGTTTCTCCTGGTCAGTGACCTTCTGAATCACCAGGTTTGGGTCTGCTTTGGGGCCCTCAGATAACCCTGGCATTTCCAAACCAACTTTCCCTTTTGCTTCAGGACATATCTTACCCAAGCCTGCACAATGGAGAAGTGGGACGGTAATGAGGGTACCTCAGCTTTTCACATGCCCGAGTGGATGGTGAGTTTGGTTGCTTTGTTTTTCCTTCTGTTTCTTAATAATGAAAGACAACCTTTTCTGACAGGTGGCAGGAACGCTTGTAAGAAGCTCCATCAAGATCTGTAGTTTGGAAAACAGTTATTGTTCTAACTTCTGATTAGTTCCTATGCACTGGTTCACCCCTGTTTCTTAATTACTAGTGAAGCTAGGAAAGGAAGGTTGAGAGCCTCCTGGCCAGAGACCACATGGATTGTTAGCTGTCTCCATGGTGGGCGGGGGCTGGCCCACTGTTGCTGCTGGCCTACTGCATGGGTCCTGTTGTTCTGTGATTGCTTCTGATGCTTAATTTCTTATGGGGATAAAGAAAATGAGTAGCAAGGGAGGGCAAAAAAAAAAAAAAAATGCAGCCCTTATAAAATTGGTGCTCTCTCAAGTTTCTGAAAAGATTTAAAACATTTCTTCCCTTCCTATTTTTTTCCAGTCAAAACCCTTCTCCAGCTATTTTTTATATGTGTATTTCTACAAGGCAGAAATTATACTTCTCTTGGTATAGTTCTTCAAAATATTGTATTTGCCTGATAGTTTAAATAGAATGATTACAAAGATTTATTTGTTGATAAGAAATAGCACATAAAATCTAACCTTCTGGATCCAATTACAACTTTTACTAAAAATTTTGTATGTTCCTAACTGGTTTCCTCTACATTTAGTCTGATTTCATGCATCCTATATGTGTATTTTTCTATGGTAAATGGTTAGACTCTCTACAACATATTCAGAGTTCTTTTAAGTGCTTATGGAATTATGGACTTGAAGAATAACCATTGACAATGAGACTGAATATGTAGTAAACCTAACAGAGGCCAACAGGGGAACTGATGCTGTTATCCTTATCTCTGTGCGCCCCCCCCCCTGCCCCATTGAACCCAGGGGTGCTTTACCATTAAGTTATATCCCCAGTTGTTTTTTCTTTTTTGTTTTTTGTTTGTTTGTTTGGAGACAGGCTCTCACTAAGTTGCTTAGGACCTAAATTACTGAGGCTGGCTTTGAACTTGCGATCTTCCTGCCTCAGCCTCCCAAGTGATTGGGATTACAGGCATGCTCTGTTGTGCTCAATTCTGGTAACCAGTTTTTTGTTTTTGTGTTTTATTTTTTTAACGTTTTGTTTGTTTTTGTTCATTTTTTAATCTTTAGACCATTATCAATAACCAGAAGGGGGAGCAAGAAATTTGATTTTCTTATTGAGGAGGGACCACAATAAGATATTAAACTATTAAACTATTTCTATAAAGGAATATTACAGAAGAATTTTACTGAACGTAAGTGTGCCAATTCAGAATCAATAAAAACTTTATACTAAGTCATATGGCTGTAAAGAATAGTCCTCACCGTTTTACCTGCTGACACTTGCCCTCGAGAGGAGTTTCTCCTGCACTTTTGTCCATTTACTATTCTATTTACAGGAACAGGAAAACTGCCCTAAAAGAATTATGACTGTTGCTTAAGGGATATGACCTGGGTCTTCCTAGTTTTTAGAGAACATTTTAAAATAAAGCATAGCTGTACTCTTTTTTTTTTATCAATTTTTTTTTCATGTATCAATTTTTTGTTCCTTCTCTCCCAAAAACCAGGAAGATACCTTTGATCAGTAGTTTTTGAACAAGAATGAGAAGCAATAGGGAGGGGCTTGATGTCAGTAATGCAGATGTTTCATTTGCTATCTTCTTTACCAAAGTCTTTTGAGGCTTTCTTTTAGATACTGCATAAGTCATTAACTTCTGACCTGTTCTGAAAGTGCTTCCTTGGGCTGCCTAGCAGAAAACCTTTGAGTGTATTACCTGTAGATTCCAGACCTTATCTGTGAACTGTCCTAGTGTCTTTTAATCCCCAAGAGAAAACTCTGGAGCCAGCTCTTCTGTTTGGCCAAAACATCAAGTTAAGAAAGTTTTAACACAAGTCAGTCTGACTTGCATCCCAGACCACACATTAGTGTAATAAACTTCCCTCAGAAGCGATCCCACCACCAGAGGAAACGCAGAAACCTCCAGAACCTCCATTCAGGAGAGGTGAATCTCAGCACCTCACTTTGATAATAATCACCAGCAAGGGCTGGGGTTGAGCGCTCAGAGCGCTCGCCTAGCATGCATGAGGCACTGGGTTTGATCCTCAGCACCTTCATAAATGTAAAATAAAGATATTGTGTCCACCTAAAACTTAAAAAATAAATTCATTTTAAAAAATAATAATAATCACCAGCAAAAAGGGACTTGCTCAAGTCCACACACAGCAGCTGATTGTACTCACATCAGATTCCCAGCAGGAATACAGGCAAGGATGAAGCGTGAAGAACCCCAAACTTAAGAATTGACAAAGTAGACCTTTGAGGTGATGTTCCATCAGCCACCGGAAAACTGCTGGAGCTTCTCTGCTCCTCAGTTATTTTTCACGTGAAGGATTTTCTTAGCTTTGTTCAGCAATTTTACTCCTGAAATGTTGGGAAATGTAGTCCTTTCAAACATTATCTTTATTGATATGTTTTACTTCCTCCAGAAATCTTTAGTTCCTATGTCAGGTAAAATACCTTGTCTTATGTACATAGAGATCAGCAACAAGCCTTTTTTTTTTAATGTGTTTACATTTTAATATTTTTCTCCTCCCACCGAGTCTGTCTGTAGTGCTTAGTACTTTTCCATGTGAAATCTGGTTGAGACTTTCTTGAGTACAGAGCCAGCTCACTATTCTTTCCGCTAGAAGGAATCCCTTTTGTAGGCAAAATTGCTCATTTAGCTTGAAAAGGAAAGAAGTCTTGAAGAATATTTAAACTGTCTCTACTTAGGAAGCAAGACAAAAACCATTAAGGTATCTGGTAATTGGTGGTAGTGGTAGCTTGACTACAGCCCTCAGTCAGGTTCAGTACTTATAGCAGGGAGAAACTGATGAAAACTGCAGTCTCTCTCCCCAGGAAACCACAAATTTTGCATACTCTTTTAGGGGATTCTAGACATCTATAGATTCTAAGTTAAAAACCTTGGTCCTTAGAGAATAGAAATATTTATATTTTAGACTTAGATATCATGTGGTCTTCAAAACCTTCTTATATTACTTTATTTTATTGTGTTTTAGCATACATTTGAAGTTAGGTGAAATAAGTATTATTTTCCCTAATGTATAAATGAGCATTACAGATATTAAGATACAGCTATGTATTTAAAAAGAAACTCATTGTTTCTTTCAGCCTGATCCTCTGCAGGGTAAATAGATCTTCTGTTCTCCCCAAGAATCTGGTTTTCCTTTTTGTTTTTCTTTTGGTGTTGGGAATTGAATCCAGGGGCACTTTACCACTGAGCTGCATTCCTACCCCTTTTCATTTTTTATTTTGAGACAGATTCTTATTTGCTGAGGCTGGCCTGGAACTTGAAATCCTCCTGCCTCAGCCTCTTGAGTTTCTGGGATTACAGGCATGAGCCACCACCCTGACTCATTTTTTTGTTTTTTGAGACAGGGTCTCCTGAAGTTGAAGCTTTCCCTCTTCTTCTCCTTCTCCCCACCTGTATCTCTGCAACAATCAGTGTAGCTTTCCTATTTATTCACTGGGTCCCATTCAGAATCAAATAAACAATGTGCTTCTTTTCCTGTTTGAGTCTTTATTTGGCATGTAATAAGGTGGTTGTGATTCTGAGGAGTTGAGATCAGAAATTCTCCTTTGTAGTCACACCTTCCAGGAAACACACTTTTTTTTTTTTTTTTTTTTTTTGGAAAAAAAGCAAACTGGGCCACCCAGTGCCAAATCAGAAACAATCTTGAGATGGGACCAGAAACTAAATGTTAAAACGTGTATAGAGGATACACAATTAATTGTAAAGAAATGGAATGAGAAAGTTGATTTCCTTGGTGATAGAACTGAAATCAGTGTCCCCTGTTTGGCTAATCCAAGGACAGAGTGCAGAATAGGGGCTGCTGAGCACTTGGCACTATTAATTTTTTTTTCCCTTACTCTCAATAAATTCCCTCATTGTTTTAGTGTCTCTGTAGTTAATTTTTTTCTAATGAGACTAGGTTAACTAAAATCATCTGACATGGAAAAGGAGGAGGTAAGGTTAAAAAAGAACCTAATTAGCAAGTTAATTATAGCAGGCAAAAAAGCACACAGGTTATATAAATAAGCTATTGTTATACACATGCAAGTTGGGCCTTGTCAAAGGACTTGTTAAGGTTTAGAGGTCAGAGGATCCTTGTAATTAGGTATTCAGGAAAAAATAATCATAAAAGCAAAACAGCTAAAACAGTTAACAGAATTAGAAATGGCTGATGAGCCACTAACAGAACTGCCTTATTATATTGGGGGTATAATGCTAACAGGGTATTGGAGCTGCTTCAGGGATTCCAAGGAAGGTTAGCACCCCCCCCCACACACACACAAAAAAAAAAAAAAAAAGCTAGCTGGAACCAGAGCCAAGAGAATTGCTGATGAGGAAAGTTTAAAGGCCTGGCCACAAGGGTCCCTGAACCAAAGAGGTGGCAGTGGGGCTGGTAATTTCACTATGCTGAGCAGCAAGAAGAAATATATTGTCAATGGCAACTCTGGGATTAAAGCCCAGGTGAGGCTAAGCTTTTATTTACCAGTTTTGCTGCTCCTGTAGCTATTACTTACTGTCCAAAGCCAGCTGCTTCTACTTTTCTTCTCCTCCTGTCCTGCTTTTGTCCCTCCGTTGAACATTGAGCTACCTCTTTCTTAACAACCTTTTCCCTCCATTGCCTTGCTGCCTGTTGGAATTAGGCAGTGTTCTCCAGGATGAAAAAGGAAGCTTACCTGAAAGCACTCTGGTTTCAGATGAGGTAAGAAAGTCAGGGGTAAAATCTACCAAAGTACTACACCTGGGGTGGGCAGATGATTGTATAACAAAATGGACTTTTGAGTGAGGAATATAATGGTGCTTAACCATTGAAGAGGGGCACGCATCAGGTGTGACCCACTGAACTCATGTGTTCTGGTTATCAGCAAAAGATAAACATCTATTTCTTGAGAAAATTGTATAATTTAACAATATATAAGTGGTTAGTTTCTAATATTCTTCTGTCTTTGAAGAATTTGAATTCAATATCTAATCAGTAAGCAAGAACCCTGTGTTCTAAATGCATAAAACCTACACAGCATATTTTTCAGTTTAAAAGATATCCTAAACTTGCTGTTGGGTGAAGGGATTACTCTGAATGTAAAGACGAAGAGAAGGGAACTCAGTTTAGGGAAACTTATGAGATGGCCGTATGGCTTAGTGTTACTGGGGTAAACAGTTGTGTACTTAGCCCAGTCCTACAAATCCCAAGAATGAAAGTGACTGACCCCCTCTAGTGGGTTGTGTGTGTGTGTACGCGTGCACTTGCTCTTAGGTATGTGTGCAGGTCTGTGGTTGGGATGGGGAATCGAGTTGCATATCTGGGCACGGTGTCTCTGCTGTTATTCTTTTTTGTTGTTGTACTGGGAAATTGAACCCAGGGAACTACCAGTTCTACCACTGAACTACATCTCCAGCCCTTTTATTTTATTTTATTTTTATTTATTTATTTATTTATTTATTTATTTTGAGACATGGTCTACTAAGTTGCCCAGGGTGACCTGGAACTTTCAGTCCTCCTGCCTCAACCTCCTGTGTCACTGGGGATTACAGGAGTGTGCCACCACACCAGCTATTACTTATTATTTTATTTTTTTTAAGGGAACACAGCTGAGTTAGTGACTTAGCTTGGGCTTTGCAAAAATCAATTATTCCTTTTCTTAGAATAAAGACTATAACTCTCATGAATGAGATTGGTGAAATGGACACCAGAGTTTTGAACCTGACTGCTGTCCACCTCCACAGCTTCCCACCCTCCCTCTTCCCCTTCCCAGCTTTTGCTCTTAAAAATTACTTTAACTCTGGACTTGGCCTTTGCTTGTTATATTTACTCAATATTCAACCGAGTACAGACAGTGAAGATAGAATAAGTTGCTTTAGGTTCATTGATTCAGCACATGATTGAGTGCTGGGAAATGCCAGGCATTTGTGCCAGAGGATATAAGGGTGAATAAGATACCCAGCCCCTGCCTTTGTGGAATCCATAATTTATAGAGAATACAGGTAGGTAGGTAGATAGTTACATTCAATGTGCTTAATGCTGTGCTAGAAGTACATGAAATTCATGTACATTCCTTGGGAGTACATAGAGTACTTTGTCCTTTTAGAATAAATTGCTACTTTAGCAAAATAATCAAATTTGTCATTTTTCATTTTGCAACAAGCAATACAATACAATGCATTTTCCCATTGCCGAAAACAATTTGAAGGTTTTATTTATTGTTATAGCTATGGAAATGCTATGATTTCCCCTACAAGGCAATAAATGCTAAGCTAATTCAATTTGGCTTGGCGCTGGCCCCCTCTATCTCAATACTTAAATGACTCAATAGTTACCTCTAACTACAGGAAGTATAGTCGTCAGTTGCTGCTTTCATTCTATTATACTGTATCTGTTCTGCTCATCAGGGATCCATCTTTCCATCATTAAAGGGAGAATCAGTTGTCAGATCTTTGATTCTTTTCAGTAGACCCTCCTCAGTGCCACCTTTGGTCCAGAAGAATCTGAGTAATTATGTAAACACTTGGTAGGGGGAAAAAAGGTTATTAAATGAATAAATGATGTAGCCTTGATTTGTGAAGTATTAAAAAGTATCAGCTAAACTGTCGGAGATAGAGATTAAAATTTTTGTAAGAAAGTCATTGTCAGATATTTTCCAGTTGCATCCTACAGATTATGATGTGGGGTTTATGTATATTCAGCTCAATTATCCACTGTTTCTACATCTGTTATGTTACAGTTAATAAATGATCAAGTTTGTGGCTTTTAGGTACTTTATGATACCAAACACTAAAAATAATAAATGTTTATTTACTAGTTGGTATAGCTAACTAATATATTTTAGAAAGTCTAAATTAAAATATCTACCCGCAAGGGAGTGAAAAGAATACTGAAATGTAGAAGTGGGGATATGGCGTGGATTTATTGAATCTCATGCTGTTTCAGTTTACATGCATTGTCTCATTTAATTTTGTCTAAAACCTGTAAGGTGAGTACTTTTATGTCTGTTGTATTTATGGGAAAAAGAGAAAAACATCTTGGCCAATATCACACAGCTTAATGAGTGGCATGGCCAGGATTTCAGTGCAATTCCAGAATGTTCTGTCTGGATAAAAAGCCTTTTTCAAAGTTTGATGTGCCATTAATTTCCTGAGAATCTTGAAACCTGGATCTTGGTAATTTTCTCATCTGGAAATATAGAAGGGTTTAGATGTATGGATAGTCTTTTAAGATTCTTCTCAGCTTTAATTTTCAGTGAAATTATAGAAGGGATTTCTAAATATGACTCAACTTACTAAAAATTCATTTAAAAAAAAACATTCTTTTTTCCTTTTCATTTTTTGGTCACAATTTTATTGTAAAAAGTATTATATAGAGTGGATCAAAGATTTAAATTTAATAGAAATATAGTAGGTGAAAAGTGAAAAATTACTCTTTTCTCCAAAGAGTCTTAATATTCCAAATATGCACTATTCGGCTTAATGAAATATTCTGAATATTCTGAAATTTTCAGATAAGTGTAGGGAAGGTAAAATAATAATGAGTAATAACAACAGCAATAACTTTGAATTGCTGCCTCAAAATAGAGGTTCTTTTTCTTTATATAACTAGGATTCTTCTTCTTAGCAGATCCAGTTTGCTGACCAGAAGCAAGAATTCAACAAGCGTCCCACCAAAATTGGACGTCGCTCTCTCTCTCGTTCCATTTCTCAGTCATCTACTGACAGCTATAGCTCAGGTGAGTACTGAGCTGCCATGAACCCACCTATCAAGGCCAATAGGTGTACAACAGACCTTCCCCTCTATCCAAGGCTAACTGTGCTTGCTGATGCCTGTGTCTTGAATAAATATTTAGAATCAAAATTTAAACCAAAATTTGGGATGGAATCTTTGGATTTCCCTTGGGAATTCAGGGTGGAAATTCACAGAGGCCCTCTCTTCCAGTAGAGGCAGAGAGGGTCACTAAGGAAATTAAGTTCTTTGATCTACTCCGAAGGATGGGAGTATGCAGTTCACTGATGATGACCTTCATTGAATAGCATGTATAAAGACTTGTGTTTTTTCCATCTTTTGGGGGAAAAAAAAAAGTTTCCCAACCTTCCATCTGGTACTTGCAAATTAAAGGGGAAACCTCAGTTACTCCAATGAACAATGAAAACATTGTAGCTAGTTCAAGCAGTGGGCCCTTTGTCTTTTCTCCAGAGCTGTGACATTGTAGTTCTTGTTACTCCTTCCTTTGCAGCAGCATTAATTCAAGTATATGTGCTCTGGGGCCAAGTTATGATTTAATGCCATGTGAGCTATTACTATATAGACCCCTGGAAGGTAAGGGCCATTTGTTTAGTGGTACCCAGGATGAGTCTGATCTAGTATGGGGCTCTTTTATTTCTGCTTTGTGGTAGAATGGGGTAGAGAACTGAGAGTTTGCCTTAGTTATTACTTCTTCACATTATAAATAGTAATATTCATTAAAAAATTTTATCATGACTTGAAATTTTATTCTTCATATATATAGGAAAGTAATATTTGTTACATAAAGTTAAAGAAGGATTGTTTGGAAGCTGTAGCTTTAAGGTTAAGTAGATTGTTATTTACAACCTTTTTTTGGTACCTGGGATTGAACTCGTGCAAACACTGAGCCACATTCCCAGCCCTATTTTGTATTTTATTTAGAGACAGGGTCTCACTGAGTTGTTTAGCACCTCAGTGTTGCTGAGGCTGGCATTAAACTTGCAATCCTCCTGATTCAGCCTCCTGAGCCTCTGGGATTACAGGCATGCGCCACCGCACCTGGCCTTATGTACACATTTCTTTTTTCATTTGTTTATTTATATGTGGTGCTGAGAATCGAACCTAGTGCCTCACACATGCTAGGCAAGTGCTCTACCACTGAGCCACAACCCCAGCCCATGACCACACTTTTAATTTTTCTTTTTTACTGTATTCCCACAATAACTGTGACATAAATGCCTATGAGTTTTCATAGAAAAATACAGAGTTTCATACTATCTTACTGCACTAAAATAAACAGTTGAAAAATTCATTAACTGGTTAACATAACTCTAAAAGCCATAAAAAATGTGAAAATGTGAATTGTAAAATATGTGCACATTATCTAAAGATCAACGCTAACGCTGGGTATGGTGATGCATGATGGCACACACCTGTGATCCCAGCTACTCAGCAGGCTAAGGCAGAAGGATTTCAAGTTCAAGGGAAGCCTGGACAATTTATTGAGAACCTGTTTCAAAATAAAAAGGACTGGGAAGGTAGCTCAGTAGTAGAGTACCCCTCAGTTCAATCCCCAGTAAACTCCCCACCACACACATATGCAAAAGGTGGATGATAAATAATGATACTTTTAACTCCAGTATAGTATCTTCCCTACATAACTAGATCCACATATCTATCTGTGTTCCTGCAGAGGAAACCAATACCTGCCTTCTCATTCAAGTCCTATGTTCAGAGAGGGTACTTACCAAATATCTCTGTACCTAAAAGAATGTAGGTGATACCCTTGGTTTCTAATATCATTGGTGAATGATATTAAACTGGTGTCAACCTGATAAACTTGGACCTTTATATATACAAAATCTGTTTTAGTTGTAGGTGGACACATACCATTATTTTATTTATTTATTTTTAAGTGGTGTTGAGGATTGAACCCAGTGCCTCACCTGTGCTAGGCAAGTGCTCTACCACTGAGCTATAACCCCAGTTCTCTAAACTTGGACCTTTTAGATTGAACTATATGAAACTGCCATATTTATAGCTTAAAAGTTGTCAATATACCCATTTAAGGATATTAAATTTGGAAACAGGGAGTCAAAACATCCTGGAGCTGGGGATATAGCTCAGTTGTTGAGTGCTTGCCTCGCATGCACAAAGCCCTGGGTTCAGTCCCCAGCACCAGAAAAAGAAAAAAAAAATCCTGGAGATGAAAAAGATTTTAAACATATAATTCACTGGAATGCTGAAATTGCTTCTGTGGCATCTCTGGCAAATGTCCATCTGGCCTCTTTGGGAACATTTTAGATGATATGGTGTCTCCTTGCTTCATTTATTTATTTATTGTCTGATGAACTCTTAAGTAATTTCTGGAATTTAAAGATTTTAATTAGAAATAAAACTCAACATCTTTTATTGCTTGAGTTAGGAGGCATCCTACTAACCTGCTCATCTGGATGCATTCTAGATTTTCTTTTTAAAAGCAAATCTATGCCCATAATATTCCAGATATGATTGATCTAATCCACAGGAAGTATTACCTCCTTAAACTTAGTGCTTTAAAAATGAAACCTAATAGGGAATGATATTGACCAAATTGTGTGCATGCATGAACATGTAACAGCAATCCCATCATTATGTATAATTGTAATGCACTAATAAAAAGTGTGGGAAAAAATAAAATCTAAGATTATGTTTTCTTTCAGCAACTACATCACACACATTGTTACCTCATTTTTGGTTTTGGTTTTGTTTTCTTCACATAGTCGTTAATCCCTTTGTAAACAAAATCTGAAGGAAGAGGTATTACTGCCTTGATTCTTATACTGGGAGTTAGGATAGACCCCATTTCTAGTTTCTGATCCATGTTTGCCTTATTAGGTGATATCGGAAAACTCGTGCATCCTGGCACATTCGTAAGTGAGCCAGTGGTACAGATGAGGTAGTACAGAAAGAGCTCTGTGCCCATCAAGTGAGCCAACAATAATAGAATCTACTCACAGCTTTCTGAATTTGAGAAGATATGCAAATGCATATCAATAAGAACTTGAGGTCCTTTTTAGCATGCATTATAATTTAAATGACTACAGAAATCAACATTGGAGAGCCCCCAAAACTAATCCTTGGACCTCTTCCCTTCTTTGTTTATATTCTCTCCCTAAGTGAATTCAGTCTTAGAGTTTTAAATACTCAATCAATTGGTGTTTGATTCTCTCATTTTATCTCCTACTAAAATGACTGTATATTCACCTGCCCGCTCAGCCTTTCACTTAGATGTTTTATAAACATCTCAAACCTCCCATACCTTAAAAACTGAGCTTCTTAGTTTCTTCTTTACCCATCTTCAGTCTATTTGACATGGAGCCAAATTTGTTCTTTTAAAATGTCAGGTTAGGGGATGGGGTGTAGTTCAATGGTATAGCTCTTGCCCAACATATGCAAGGCTGTGGGTTCTATCCCAAGCACAATAATAAAATAAAATAAATATAAGGCCTAAGGTTCTTACAGTAGCTTAAAGGGCTCCATACCATCCAGCCTCCCATTGTGTTTCTTATCATATCTACTTCTCCAAAACTCTCTCCTCCCATAATTGTTCAGTCCCCTCCAACCATAGTAGCCAACCTCTTTATTATTATTTTGAAAAATGCCAGTCACTGTCCTGTTTCAAAACCTTTGCACTTGTTTCCTGCCTAAAAAGTTTTTTTTTTTTTCCCCAGATATATGAGTGGCTGGCTATCTTGCCTCCTTCAGTTCTTCACCAGATATCACCTTCACATTCAGGCCTATCCTGGCTATTCTTTTAAAATTTTATACATCATAGTGACCATGGTTAATAACAATGTATTATTATATTATGTTCTTGGGTGGAGGGCAGGGAGGTACCAGGAATTGAACCCAAGGGTACTTAATCTCTGAGCCATCCACAGCCCTTTTTATTTTTTGATACAGGGTCTCACTATGTTGTTTAGGGCCTTGCTAAGTTGCTGAGGCTGGCCTTGAACTTTCAATCTTACTGTCTCAGCCTCCTGAATCACTGAGATTATAGTTGTGCCTCATCAGCCTGGCTTATGTTCTTCAAAATTTCAAGAAAGTAAATTTTAAGTGTTCTTAACCATAAAGAAAGCTTGTGAGATGAGGCATATATTAATTAGTTCTGTTGAGGCATTCCACAATATATACTTTTTCAGAACATCATGTTGTATCCAATAAATGCAATATATAAAATTTTGTCAATTAAAAATTAATCATATAGTGTACAATTAGTGACTTGAAAAATTGTGCTCTGGGGTTGGGGTACTGGCTCAGCAGTAAAGTGCTTGCCTAGCACATGCGAGGCATTGGGTTTGAGCCTCAGCACCACATAAAAATAAATAAATAAAATAAAGATTAAAAAAAAAAAAAGAACTTAAACACAGAACTCTGACTTTAAACCTTATTCCCTCTGCCCTTTACGTTTTAAAAAAATTATCCTCTATATGTGTAATATGAGATGAATTGCATTCTGCCATGGTGTATAACAAATTAGAATAAATAAATAATTTAATAGAAAATTAATTATATGTAAATGTTGTACAATCACCTCACCCACTCTCTATATTTTCTTCCTTTTTCTCCATAGCACTTATTATCATATGACCTACTATATTTTTTTTAATATTTATTTTTTAGTTTTAGGTGGACACAATATATTTATTTTATTTCTATGTGGTGCTAAGGATTGAACCCAGTGCCTCATGCATGCTAGGTGAACATTCTACCACTTAGCCACAACCCCAGTCCCATACTATATATTTTATTAATTTATTTTTATCTTTTCCCACCTATTTGATCATGGATTTATGGGAGCAGGGATTTTTATCTATTTTATACTGCTGTATTCCTAGCATTTAGAACTAAGTTTAATACATAAAAGGTAGTCGATAAATAAATATTTTTAAAAGGCATTCTGAGAATTTTGTTTTCTTTGTTTTTTCCCCTCTGCTGTAGGTTAAACCCAGAGTTGTGCCTGCT